CAGTCCTTTACTGCCCAATACAATGGCAATCTAAACAAAGGGCTATCTAGGGTTAAAAATAGCTACAGGTATAAACACCTATAGAAAAAGTAACCATAAGACTCTGTCACTTTTCAAAATAAAAATTTAGATTACTTATCTTTCCTGCTACACTTGGCAGGGCTCCCTTCTGATTCTCTTATCACTGTTCACATTCAGGTCATGCCTTCTAAACCAGATTTATCTCTTCCAGGATAAAAGCCTTTAGGACCCAAATCATGAGCCAACAGGGCTATCAATCTCTACAAACAATTGAGATCTCCATGATCAGCCCAAATCTATATGCAGAACCTTGACTGTGCTGAACAATAATTTAGATATTTAACCTGGGGTCCAAATGAGCCCCAAAGGAAAAAATAGGAGAGACAATTTCCCCTTGCAGGTAGGATCTGCTGTCCCTTGTTAGCTTGAAGCAGATTCAGAAGAAAATACAACTTCAGCCCTTCAGCAACCTCAAAAGGATTTCTTCAGGATCATGTCTCTCAGGGAATTTGAGACACGCTAGAAGTATGGAAAGTTTGGGGACCCATATGTAGGTTGCCCAGGGACAGCCCTGACCACTATCACTTTGGCTGGAAGCCACCCATAGCCTCCCCATTCATTGACTATTAGGTAGGAATCACCTGGTTTATCCCTTCGCATAGATTTGCATAAGTTTTAAAAGTACCTGAGATAGAGAAAACACACTCTGTCTGCCGGCAGACTCCACCTGTACCAACCATGTTCCCTCTTGTATTTCTCTTCCCTAACATTTAAGAAAGTCCCTTTACACCCATGTGCCCTGCCTTGGATTATTCCACATGGAACAAAGAATTAGGAAGTGTTCTGATCACAGACTGATTCAGCACCATCAACAAAGGTAGGTGGTAGATGAAGGCAGGTAGTGATACAAGCTTTGGAGGGAGAGTGGCTGAGAGAAGCAGCCAAAGGAGCAGGTCACTTTTGGCAATAACAGTGCTTTTTCAGCCCCATACTTCCTGGAATTGCTTCAGTCCACTGCTTACTTTCTGACATTCTCTGCTTAGTATGGAATAGTGAGGCATGTCTATTTTATTAGTTAAACATTATGAGAACTAATACATGGGCAAATGAATTTAAACGGGCAGTTTTCAAAAGAAGTACAAATGGCCACTGAACACATCCTTAGGAATAAAGGAAATGCAAATCAAAGCAACACTGACATTCTATCTCACCCAAGTCAGAATAATTATCTTTATGAAAACAAGCAACAACAACTGCGGGCAAAGATTTATATGTGGGGGTGGGAGATGGGGACCATTATACACTTTTGGTGGGCATGTAAATTACTGTAGCCACTATGGAAATCAGTATAGAGGTTCCTCAAAAAACTAGAACTAGAACTACCATGTCACCCTGCTGTACCATCCTGCATATAGCCAAAGTAATGTAATGGAGATACCTGCACAGTCATGTTTACTGGCACAATTCACAGCAGCCAAGTTATGAAATCAACCTACATAGTCATCAAAAGATGAATGGACAAAGATGTGTTACATATACACAATAGAATATTGTTCAGCTCTAAAGAAGAATGAAATGCATCATTTGCAGGAAAAGATGGAAATTAAGATCATCATGTTAAGTGAAAGATTCAGAAAGACAAATACCTATTTTTTTCTTATATGTGGAATCTAAATCCATAAATACAAACAAACAACCAAAAAGACATGAACCTAAATGAAGGATTATTTGGATGGGAAGAATGATGGAGAGGGGAGAGAGGGACAGGAGGGTGATGGGGGTGAATAAAATCAAAATACTGTGTATGAATATGTGGAAATGTCATAATGAAACCATTATTTTGTACAATAATTTAAAACACTTTGAAAGTCAGAAGACATGAATTTTAGCCCCTGATATGTGTTATTGGGTGCAAGTAGAACATGTTAGGTTGGCCCCTGGGAGGGCAACAAAATAAGAATTAGCTGTTCATAACATGTGAAATGTAGGCTCAGGCCACATCAGTGTTCTCAATTATAAGAATCTTGTGGGACATCTATTAAAATATAGATTCCAATGTCTACCTTTTGGAAATCTTATTCAGAAAATCTGGAGTGGGTCTTAAATTTTGTGTGCTTTTCACAAGAGAGCCTCAGTTTTTCTTATTATCTGGAAAATGTCTCAAGATTTAAAAAATTCTCCAAATCCTGGAATTTTACAATAAATTACTTCCCTTTTGTCAGTATTATTTTCCTTACTGAACACTATTCCTCCTCCTTTCCAGTGGTTTGCATTTTAATCACCTTTGGAAGGTTTAAACATGAACATGCCATGATGCCCCAACTCTGACCACAGTCATTGATTGACAATAGCATCTGTTCTTCATACTGGTGCCTTGCTGGAGACTTCCATTCGTCCTTCCTCTCCCACCTCCACTCTTTGCTGTAGGAGGTGAACTTTGATGGCTAGATAAGTAAGATGCTTTACCCTCTGGTTCCCATTTGGGTTTAGCCAATGGGAGGCATTGACAAGAGAGTAGAGTAAACAAAGAAGGAATGCTGGGGTATTTATTAGCTTCATCCTCATCCCCGGCTCATCTCTTATGGGATCACTCTGGGCTGGCTGTGTCACTGCCAGTTGGTCTTCTGTTATAGTTAGAGCTGATCATCCAGTGTTCCTTTAGGGCTAGGGCTGGTAAGTTTCCCACAATATTGCTCGCTCTAAATTACTGCACCAGCCTTTGTAAATCTACCCCCACCCAAAGACTCCCCATCCCTTTGTTAAAACTTCCTCAATTACCCTCTTTGCATTGCTAGTGCCAGGACTCTGAATGACACAATGCCTTTAATCTCTTTCATACATGCTGTTCATATATTAAAGGACTCCTTATTTATTAGAAATATGAAGATAATAGAATTTAAGAATAGAAATAATGGAATTCAACTTTTAACAGGATACAGACTATATCTAGTCCACCTTGCTGCAAAATTCTGGAATTGTACATGAAATTGATCTACCTCACCCTGCTTTAGCACTAGGACTTTTCAAATATTTTCTAGCCTTTATCATTTTTCTCCTCTAGACTAATTATTTGTTCCTTTAGCAGTTCCTCATGTAGTATGGTTTCTCCATCTGTCTTCATCCTGCCCATTGGCAGTGTTCCTTTGGTGCATTCTGTTTTGTCAACATTATTGCTTCTTGTTTAGAGAAACATTTGTAAAGTAATCAAAATGTGGACCATAGTCTCACCCAACTGGAGAAGAACCTGGACCTTCCTGGCTAAAAAACATGAGGGAATGAGTATATAGAGACAGAAGATGCTGACTGTCAAATGCAGCAGGGGCAGGGCCAGCTGCAGAGGAGGGAAACAGGTGTGTGGGTGGAGGCAAGAGTTCCTGCCTAAGGAGGAAGCACACATCACCACGAGCCTCCTTGCATGCTGTAGTTCCACTTTTGAACTTGAATCTTGCATTTTCTTTTGTACTTCTAGTTTTCTGGCCAGAATATAATTTGGTCATTTGTGCAAAATAATTAACACAAGGCCTGCAGCAGAAGAAATTCTCTTGCATGCTGAGCCCCTCTAATTCTCATACTTTGATGCTAAGACCCTCAAAGTCACAAAATTTATAGCTACCATGAACCTCAGTTTATCAAATTCAGGCAAACTGCAGGGGTTGGTCCTTGATCAAAAGTTAGAGAGCATTTTATTGGTCAATTCAGGAATAAAACTTGACCTCTCTACCATCTTTCTTCTTTTTTCAGTTAATTTACTACATTATTTTACCACAGATTACAAAACTGAAATGAAGAAATTCATACTGTTAGTACCAAAGCATCCAAGTGAGACAGAAGCAGCATTTGAATTGCACAATTGCCATGAAAGTATTGGGAAAAGATAGCTATGTGCACATTACATTTGACACAACCTCAGAGGTGAAGCAAACCATCATTTTGCCTAAAGGATCCAACTGCCTTTTTCTTTGCACCTAAGTAAAAATCGTATAGCATATAAATCTTTTTTTGTGTGATGCTGGGTTTGAACTCAGGGTCTCACTCTTGCTAGCCAGGTGTTACCACCTTAACCATGACCAGCCTTTCAGTTACTTTTTAGGTCTGGTGTTGAATTTTTTACCAGACTGCAGTCCCCCTACCTATACCTCCTATGTAGCTGGGATTACAGGTATGTACCACCACAACTGGCCACATATAAATCTTTTCAACTGATATTTTAAGTGGGATTTGTTATAGAAGCACACAAAGTCAATTGACATACCAATGTAAGTACAAAAAACCTGAGACTCTTGCCTTAAGCCTTTGGAAAGCCACTGAAGCTATGTTATGAAAGAGAACTTTCATGAACCAGAGAAGTGATAAGAAGGCTCCCACACTCAGTTACCACTTGGTCTTCAGTCTTCCACCAACTTAGAATCACTTTGAACTTAATGGTACCTCTGGGAAAACCAAGTTCAATAAAATTTAGACTCAAAGTATGTAATTTACCTATTTGCAAAGCAGAATCATGACTTTCACCTTAATCCAGTGCTCTTTTGCAAACATCATGCCCATTTGATGTGTGCCTTCTTTACTTAATTGGTTCTTACAATAGGGCCTCAGATATTTGGATGCAGTATTTAATACAAATGACTTCACTGTAAAATTCCAGACAAATATTTCCTTTATTAAATAAGAAGGGGAGAAAAGTGGCTTAATGTTATCTTTAAAACTTTCCTGCTAATCATAATGAATGCCCTAGCAAAAATAGATTTGAGGAGCTTACACATAAATGAAATATGGAAATATTGATGACTTCTAACCGGCTGATAGGAAAAGGTGGTAATGTTAGAAATGCCCCCCAAAAAAGGTATTCATTCATTAAGCCAAGCTGAGCTCTACTGCAAGAGAGAGAGTCTGACGCTAAAAAACTCTTAGTAGTAATTGATAGGAAATGAACATATAAGCCAAAGAAACTACTTTCAAGTACTGAATTTCAAGATCTCTGACAGATCAATAGGTGTGAGCAATCAAATTTGCAGGAGTTGCTGTTGAGAGTGACAGAGGCTTTGCTGTTTTAGATAATCCCAAACTGAGCCAGCTCATGCAATTCTAGGTGGCTGAATGCCTCCCAGGGACAAATCACAGTGATATCTGAAAGAGACAGGAGAACATGTAAGCCAACCTATCCCCAAAGAGTCTTTTCTGTTCAAAAAACATCTTTCAGGATGAAACACCACAATCCACTCTCCTATACCTGGGAGATTATCTGGAATGGCTGGGTAGCCCAGAATAATTGCATTTTTGCCCCCCAGGTATCTCTGTTGTTTTTATTCTGCATTCTCTTTGGAAAGGTAGTAGTGGCTTGATTGGGGGTACATGTGAGGTACAGCCCACTAGGTCTCCTAAAAACTGAACTGCTAAGGAGAGAACAGATGTGGAATTGTAATCAGGCCAAAGATTAAAATGAGAATTGGGAGCACTTTAAATTCCCATGGTCTGGGAATCTTAGTCCCACTCCTCACCAATCCAAATGAATTCTGTGGGTTTCTCTGACTTGCACTTCAGTACATTTACATTTTGAAATGCCTATATCAAAATACATACTGAGAAGCAATCTCAAAGCATTAACTAATCTAGTCTCTCATTTCAAATAAGATGTTATCCTCCAGTTCCTGAGAGGCTGGCTGACACCCAGAAGGATTAAACAACTAGCAGAAAATTACAATTATATAGATGGGGCTAGAACCAGATCAAAGACCTCAGACCATCCCTCAGCATGAATCTGTGGTTTATTCCAAGAGTGCCAGAAGAGTTAACTCTATCTTCTAGATCTAAAAGCAAATTTACTGGTCTGTATACACCTGACCCAAATACAGAAGCAGTTGATTTAAGAGAACAGCAAGTAAGATTTATAAAGTGACAAGATATCTATCTGAGACCCCAGGAGTGGCATTTGACTATGAAAAGCAAATATACTGAATAGTGCCTGGTAAGGACACTGATTGCTATGACTGTTGCCATTTATGAAGTGTGTTGGATAAGTTCAAAACTTATGTCCACACAAATACCTGCACACAAATGTATATAGAAGCTCTATTCACTACTTCCAAAGCTTAGAAGGGACCAAGATGTTCTTCAACAGGAAAATAAATTGTGGTACATTCGTACAGTGAAGAGTATTTGCCAATAAAAAAGAAATGATCTATCAAGTCATAGAATGATGTGAGGGAACCTTAAATGAACATTACTAAGTGAAATAAATCAGTGTGAAAAATCTATACACTGTATGATTCTAAGTATATGACATTCTGGAAAGGGTAACACTGATACACATTCAAAAGATATGTGGTTGTCAGAGGCTTGGCCATAGGGGGAGGAAGATAGGACCAGATGGAGCACAGGGAATGTTTATGGAAGTGGAACTACTCTGTATGATACAATAGTGGTGGGCACATGACATTATGCATTTATCAAAGCCCTTAGAACCGTACAACATAAAGAGTAAAGAATAAACCCAAGCCAAGCAAGCTATGGACTTTAATTAATGTAATTATAATGTATTAATATTGGTTTGTCGAATTTAATAAATGTGCCACACTAATACACACTGTTGATAGCAGGGGAACTTTATAAAAAGAGAAGGAGGTGTGGAGGTGGGTTATATGAATTCTCTAGACTTCTGCTTAATTTTTCTATCAATCTAAAACTTTTCTCAGTAGTAAAATCTGCCAGTTTTTAAAAAGAATATGCAGTGACTGTAGTCATTATCTGAAACAATAACATGCTCTAGTCAGTTCAAAAAGTTGTGTTGGACATATTCAGCTGCAAGCTTCTGCTCTGGGGCTAGATGTGTAAGAAGAGGAAGTTGGTGGTTCCTCTGGTGGATGGAAAGGCTCTCCAGGCCCCGCCCTTATCTCCAGTACTTCACTCTGTGGCTTCAAATTGTCACTTAACTCCTCTATGTCTCAGATTACTCTTTTGAAAAATAAAGTTGAGTTAGACAAACTCAGAAAATCTTTAGCCATAAAAGTCTACAGCTGGCCATTATATGCAGTTAAAGATTGTTACAAAACAACAGAGATCATTAAGCATTGGGCCCACCTTTATTTATTTATTTTTTGTAGGGTTTTTGCATCTGGGCCTAAGTGAACTTACTTAAGAGGGTAAATAAGATTCCCACCATTTAATATTTACAAAGGACATGCCACCTTGGGTATTCCTTGTAACTTTCAACTGGCCCTTGCAGCCTAAAGTGTCTACAAAGGTGAAACTCCAAACGCTCACTTAAGTGTGTGGGTGGCTCACCTGTTCCTAGCCCCTCCATCCCTGGAATGTCATCTCCAAACCTATGGGAAAAATAAAAAAATAAGTAAAACAGAAATTAGTCAAGATAATAGTAAATGATACCATAGTTATTCAGATAGAGTTTCTTGACTGGAGGAAAAAGAAGAAGGTTTTATTTGAAGAAGTATTTTTATTTGAAAAGCTTCTTTATTTGCATTTAACTGGAGGAAAGAAATATCACTCAAGCAGGGTTTATTGCATCCCAGGGGGAAGAGATTTCTTCCTATAGATATTTAGCCTATGACAATTAAAAGACAGAAATAATGATCAAGGGGGACAATTTAATCAATATTTACTTTTTAAAATAGAAACTAAGGCATATAAAAGGCATTAAAATGCTTTAGTCATCTCTTCACTTATTCACAAACATCAACCATCATGTTAGACACAGAGAATTAAGGAAAACACAAACAAATTTCCTCTGAAGGGTTTTAGTCTCAGGGAACAGATGTAAACCAATATATAATAATATAATATAATATATATTATATTATATATTATAAAATATGTATTATATAAATATATAAATAAAATTATATAATTATATAATATATATTATAAAATGTATATTATATAAAATATATAATATAAAATTGTATAATATATAGTATATTATATTATAAATACAATGTAATATAAGTTATGATAGCCGAATGGTATCATAATGCAAACATAAAAGTAATGACAACATTTAAGAATCAGTAGTGGTTTCACAAAGAGATTAGCCTATGAGCTATGTGTTAAAAAATGAATAGAATTTTGCCAAGGAGAGAAAAGAGAACAGTGGAGAACTGTAGCCCTAACATCTGAAGAGAACTGAGCTTTCTGGAAATGGCTGGTGGTTCGGTATTCCAGAGTATGTCAGTGAAAGGAGCAGACAAGAAAAACCTGGAAGGCCAAGTCAAAGGTGACTGTGAAAGGCTCCAATTTCCATGTCAATTCTGACCTGGGGAGCTGAGAAGGAAGGGATTCCAGGCATAAAGACATGATTCAGCAAAGACTGAGTTGGAGAGGAAGATGGAGCATTGAGTGGAAAGTTTTGTAAGCTGTTTAATATTATGAGTACCACTTTCTCAAAACCAAAGCAGTCTTGTGGGAAAAGAAGCTTTTTCATGTTGGTCTTACCCTTTCACACCTTTCTTTGGAGGCTTGCTCTTGAATTGGCGAGTCTGCCTCTGCTTGAACTTGGGGGGCCCTTTGCGTGGGGTGGTGGGACCCTGGCTTTGTGCTGGAGGAACCAAAGCAGTGTTGTCACTCATTTTGACAGTCCCTGGGTGACTGATGCTTCCCTTGCAGGTTTCCTGCAAAGTGAGAGGAAAAACAAAGACCCATCTAGTCACAAGGACCATTGTCTATTAGGCCATCACTGTGAATTGGGGAAGATAAGCAGTTTGATAAAGAAGTTTGGTACGAGGTGTTGACGCGTAGGGGAGGAATTACCACTTAGAGTGACTTCAGTGAAAGTTGTTACAAGTTAGTGGAGGCAATCAGTGTACTGGGCTGTAAACTACCAAGAGATTTAAAAACTTGAAAATCTAGGTCCATGTTGTTCCAATAAATGTGCCACTACTGCTCCACGTGAATTCATCATAATAGTGTACTTACCCTCTAAGATCACCGGTACTACCATTTGGGAGTTTTTTGTTTGTTTGTTTGTTTTATGATGATAAATGAATTGTAAAAGGGTATTTATCATGATATTTACATTCATGCACATAATGTACTTTGATCAAATTCATCCTGTCTATACTACTTATCTCTACCCCCTCCTACCCTGTCTTAAAGCAGCTGTTAGTGAATTGCATTATGCTATTTTCATTACATATACATAATGTAGTTCCTTTACCTTCACCCCCTCATCACCCTCTCCTTTCCCTTCCCCCTCCCACTGGTTCTCCTCCCACAGCCCCTTTTTTATGTCATATTTTTTTAGGTCTAGATTCTGCATATGAGCCCTATTGATTTTTAAAGGAAATGAATCTACAGTATTTTGCTGGTCTTATACAGTCTTGAAGTTCTTCATATTTTTCAACTAGGCTGCAAAATAACCTGACTCTAAATTTTTATTTTAATGGGCTCTGTCCCTTTATAGTCTAATTTTGTTTAATCTTCTCATGACCCAGAGACTTTTAATTCTGGGAGATGAGAATGTGGTTATCTGGACAGAAGAAGTTCTGAACCAGTGATACCACACTCATGAATATATGCATTGTAAACTAATGTTCATACACACATGCATAAAGATAGAAAAGTTAATGCAGGTGTTTAAGTAATGAGCTTGAGTTTTAACTCCATATCCAGACACAAGCCTCTTCAAACTCACATTTCTCCAATGTCTTCAGCATCTACTCCTATCCAAGTCATGGACTTACCTAGCATGATGTTCCAGACTAATTTGGGTACAGGCATTTATACTGCCCTTTAAATTAAAATCAAAAGAAAACAACTGACAAAGATAAATTTTTTTAAATATTTGTGCTAAGCTTTAGGGTGTCTTTTTCTTTTCTTTCTCCGTTCCTTTCATAATTGACGAAGCTTACCCTGGAAAGGAAGTCTCTAAAAAGCTCCAAAGAACTTCCATAATAGCCTTAAATTCTTACCCTGACCTCACCCTTTCCATAATCCAGTGCCTGAGAGCCTCATTTGCGTAGGGTTCCTCATTTTACCTGCTGTAGATTGATGCCAATGTTCTTAACTTCAACCCTCCCTGATCATCTTTGGCTCAGGAAAAGTATTGCTGTACATCCCTCTAATCCCATATGGTGTGACTTCAAGCTCACGATTTCTCTTATAACTTCCACAAACAGGTTTTATCCTTGCCTCCAAGATATCTTATCCTTATTTTTCTTTTCCCCCAATTTTTATCGTTCTCTCTGGCCAGATTCTTGTTCAATAGAAACACAGTGACCAACCTGTAAGCTGATAGCTCGGATGAACTTGGCCAATGCCTGGATCTCTTGCTCTTAATTGTGAATCCTGTCTTTATTCCCACTAGAATATGCTTCATGAGGTTGCATTGAGAGTTTGGTGCCATTTCTGTAGTCTCATTTCTACAACAATGCTTGTAAGTGTACCACATGTATTAGATCTGTCAAGCAAGTGAATAAATTAATAAAGAAATTTGGTAAATATCCTGGACATTGGGTAGTGAGATCCTGACCCTGTGACGTTTCTCTCAGACCACAGAGAAAGCACTAGCTGGCCTTCACCTTACAGAACCATCAGTGGCTTGAGGAAATACATTGCCAGCTCCTTTGATCACTGAATCTAGTTCTTGTGCTGTGTCCCACTCTTGCCTTGTCAACAGGCAAAGTTCATGCCTCTCCCAAGTGTGGTTGGGACCACGGGAATCAGTGGTGAGCGGCCCAGGGCAGTATTGCATTCAAGGTATGCCACCAGCAGCAGAAACATCCCGACTTTGCCAAAGCCACAGGGGAAAATGAGCAAATTTCTCTCAGTTCAAGTTTTTGGACTCCTCAACTCTTTCAAAGTAGTAAGAAACCATAATGTTCATTTGTTTCTTCTGGAGAGCCTGTTAGGATTAGTGTTATCAGATCTAGCAAAGATACTTGTTAAATCTGAATTTCAGATGAACAATAAATTGTATTTTAGCAAAAGTATATTCTGTACATTTCAGGGTACATACTTACATGGAAACAATCACTTGTTATTTATCTGAAATTCAGTTCTAACTGGGCACCCTCTATTTTATCTGGAAACATTAACAAGGATCCTATTATGTTGGAGCCAGAGTTCTATAGCAGGAAGGCTTAAGATGACCTAACAGGTCAAATTACCTTTGAGGGTAGCACACTGTAAAGAGTATGTTCTTTAGAAAGAAAAGGATGTAGTTTCAAATTCCTGACCCACAAACCTGGCTTTGTGAACTTTATAAGTTGAATAGCTCTCTCTGGGCCTCATTCCATTTATAAGATGAATCAAAATCTTCCTTTTAAGGTCATGAGGGAAAACAAGGAGATAATGTAAGTAAAATGAATGGTGCAAAGTGGCAGAAAAAAAAAAATCAATATATGCTAGACCTTCCAGACGTCAAGAAAGCCACGTGAACAGATCTATGGTTTTGTCACATGCTCACCTGGGCTTTGACCGCCTTCCTCATGTGTCCAGTGCTAAAAGCTCCTGTCCTGCACCAGAAAAGCAACTATCACAGCACTCGATAGGTAATAGTTACCTCTCTCTGGAGGGGGTGAGTTCAAGCATGATGTATTTGATATATCATAAAAACTTTTGTAAATGCCACAATGTATCCCCACCCAGCACAACAGTAAAAAAAAAATTACTCACTACTCTCAAAGATACCCACCATTAACTTATTTCTGGTCTTAAAAAAATTTAAAAATCACCCCTGACTTTCACATCACCCTGATTACACTTCCCCTTTTTTCTTTTGAATTTCTTTTGTGTGTTTATATTATTTCAAAATTGCACGTCTAGACGTGGACAGTGTTTGTGTCTAATTTTAAGTTTAATGCATTATATAAAAGGATATTCCTCAGGAAATTATGTAACAGTTGTCAAGTTGATCCTTAGGTCATCTTGACCTGTGGGACTTTCACAATGGAAAATAATTGTTATTCTGAGTGTGTTTCCTGTGCAATGTTTCATTCTGAATAGCTGGAAAAGACAGCCAATCTGCATACAGTTTCTGTCAAGATTTGCCTTCCAGTTCTTTCTGCATCACCTTTGGGTAGAGCAGCATATAATCCTTCCAAAGGATAAACTTATCATGGCCATGCTTCCCTGGAAATTTGTAGGGTATGCTGAAACTGAATAAGCCCAAACCCAGTGAATAAGAGACCTGATTTTAACTACAAGAGATGGTTTCACATGTTTGCTACAAAAGCATCAAGTGATGGCTTTGTGAGGCAGGACACTCCTATTTCTAAAGCAATATTAGCCCTTCCCCTTTGAAGACTATAAACTCTTCTTCTGCAGAAAGAAGTAAATATCGCACAGTAATATGACAAGGCATAGTTTTGTAGAGAACGGGGGTTAGTGACACTTTAGACCTGAAGCAACTAAGCTGAGCTGTGCAAAGCTACAGAAGATGAACCTTCGTAAGTCCCAGCTAAGAAAAGCACTTTCAGAAAGCTTGAGACAGGCCTTCTAATGCTGCTTTATCACCCCAGACCTCCAGATCCTGTTTTCCAGCAAGAATACAGACAGATGGACAATTCTATTGCTGGACAATTCTATTGCTAGTGGACTGAAAAAGGGGGTGGGGCTGCATGGTGAGGACTGTTTGTTCTACTGATGGGTTTAGGCTCATTAATGTCACCTAGAGTCCCATTCTGACAGAGAGAATCAAATAACTTTTAGATCCAAGCAAGACCCAAACCAAAGCCATTAAAAAAAAAAAAATCCAGCAAGTACCTGGCTTCAGGATGAAACAAATAAACACTTTAACCTCAGAGGGAGAAGGTGAAGTTACCATGCTGCCCTGTGGTCATTTACATGAGGGCTTTCTCCTTATCCTCACACACTCCCATCAGTCTCTTAAGGTTGAGGCCAAGTTTTCAAGTTCATCCTGGGAGTAAAGGACTGTTTTCTCTGTGGTCAGTTAGTGTCCAAGATCTACCTTTTCCCAGAAAAAGTTTGCTATGAAGCCACAAAAGGGGAGGGTCCCCTTGATTTCCTTCGGAACAAGTTCAGAAATCAAGGTTTGCAGTGACCTTGGAATAGCTAAGTTTCACCCATTAACTTGTCACATGGCATTTTAAGGAAGTTTGGGTATATTTTCTTCGCAGTTCTCGCACATTTCCAACACCAGCCCCAGGGCAAGCCCACAGGTCCAGAATGTTCTCTCCTCCCAGATCAACCCTCCAAACTCTTTCAGTTATTACCCTGCCCAAACTCACCACAGGTTGAGAAATACTCACGGAGCTGAACACTGACCAGTCACTTTCTGCACAATAGACAAAAGGATCACTGCATCCTCATTTATCTCTCTGTAATAGCCTCATGCTACCTAATTCCACTGTCATCAGCTTACAAGAGCAACCCAGGTGTTTAAAAAAAAAAAAGATGAGGAAAGACTAAAGCAAACTTAGAAGGTTTCTGATAATTAAATACTCTTACAAAACTGGCATGAACTCTCTTCTGTTAATAGATATTGAACTCACAAGTAGATACAAATTATTGACAACTAGGGGCAGATTTTCAGTTTTTGATTGAATACCTTTTGTGCTTCTTCGTACCATATTTAGCCCTTGTTATCCTACATTCCTCCTTTTCCTTTTACACACATGTGCCCATGCATGCAATC